AATCAAGAGCAAAGAAAAACAATTGGATTATGAAAAAAAACTATTTTCAGAAAAAAATAAACTGAAAACGGGAATTAATATCGAAGGCTTATGTACCCACATTAACAACGGAATTTGGGCCCTAACTAGGGGAAATTATAGGTTGGAGGGGAATGATATGGGGTGGAAAAAATAGAATAAATAAGGGACGTCATGTTGACTTTAAACCTGACTGACACTTCGACACGTACCACCCGAACTATTACGATTCACCCTAGTCGGTGGTTGACCAGTTGGAGCTCTGAGATGAACCATGGAGTTTGCATGGTGGGGAAGAGTTCCACTTGAAGAAGCACCCGCCGGATTCGGGTTCACCTCTCCGGCGAGACCTGTCCAACTTCTACTCATATTTAGGGAGTTGTTACTGCTCTCGAAGGCGTTATTCACTATTCCAATGGGTGGTGCTGCACTCAATCGGCTCATTGGGAGTTCATAATGATTGGTTCGATTCGAACTGCTCGGTGAATGCATGGATGACGTTGCTGAAACTACAGTACTCTAGACGTTCTTCTTCAGAAGAATCTTTTCAGAAATTTATTCAAAATTTATATTCTTTCATTTTTATATCGGCCTCTGTTTTACAGCCTTCATAGCGTCATGGGTTATCGGACGGTAATTTACTTCTTCACGGGCCTTGCCTGCAGAGGCGACGGCGCGAGAAGTAGTCTAGCGCAGCGGCCGACACTTCCCGGGTTCCGCCGCCCACTATACTTTGTGTGTGAAGTGGGCGGNGCTTANCTGGCAGGGGAGATGGGAAAAGAGAGAGAAAAATGCGTTTTTGATGCACTTTTTTTAGGGTTTCGTGAAGAAAATTTTAAAAAATTTAGAAGACAAACCTCCACCAAAATCTGTGGATTCTGTATCTTCTGAATGAATACTCAATGGTCGTTGACTTCTCGCAACCAGGTCGTCCATCGAGTGAATTGGATTTCTGAACTTATCTTTTTTCATGGACCTTCCAATACTGTTTTTCGCCGAGTTTCGTGCTCCGCTAGCATTCCACATTGTCGCTGGACGGTCTCCTTCTAAAAAATTTATTTAAATGAAGTATAAAATTGCCGTAAACACTCTAATAGAGTGGCACCCAAAATTTGAGCAAGTATACCTCGGTTCCTGTGAAAGCTATCAAAAAGTTGTCAACTGACAAAATGATTAAAATTTTATGATAAACATTTTGTCAGTTGATCACTTTTTGACGGATGTTACAGAAACAGAGATAAATTCAATCAGAGTTAAAACGCCTTCCGTTACAGACCGCGACCGAAGTGCCCCCTAACTTTGACCCAATTTATCTCAGCCCAATTGGAAGATATCAAAAAATGATCAACTCAAGAAATGTTCATCATAATATCAATATTATTTTGTTAATTAACTTCTTTTTGATTAATGTTACGGAAACGGAGATCAACTGAGTCAAAGTTAAGACGCCTTCCGTTACAGACCGCGACCGAAGGGTCTTCTAACTTTGAGCCTATATTTCTCGGTTTCTGTGAAAGATATCGAAAAGTGGTCGACTGATGAAATATTTGTGATATTACAATGAATAGTTTATTAATTGACAACTTTATCTTTCACATGAACAGAAATAAATTGGATCAAAGTTTTTACTTCAAAAACGCTTGGGTGCCACTCTATTAGAGTGTTTATTACATTACCATATGGATGCTCAAAACCGCCGAAACTCTGATTCAATGGAGAAGGAGATGGAGGTTCGAGATCTCCACTAATTTGAGTGAATTCTCGAATTCTATGAGATGGAGACGGAGGTTCTCGACTGGAAGTACTGTCTTGGGATGCATTGAAGTTTATGTTATCCGATCCTTCATTGAAATGGATTCGCTTATCATCCTAAATCATTTAAGGTTCAAGTAGCTAATAAAATTCCATGAATACCTGGCTTTGTTGATCATCTCGACATGTTTCGAAAATTTTCAATATTGTTGCGAAACTCGCTCTTTTGTTTGGATCACTAATAAGACACATTTTCATGACTTTACATATTTTTTTCGATGGACAATATGGTGGAACTGGAAGTGTTAGGTTACCATCCCTAACATCTGTAATCACTCTTCTCGAATCCATGCTGCCATATGGTTCCTCTCCAAACGAGAAAATCTCATACAAGAGAACTCCATACGCCCATACATCGCTTTTTGATGTGAACATCAAGTCTTTGAAAACTTCTGGAGCCATCCATTTGACACTTTGCATGCTTTCCAAGTCAACCCGATTGATTTCTCCTTTACTTAATGCTCGGGGCATTCCCATTTCCAGTTTTGCCACTCCGGGTCGTCCAGACAGCAAGCATTTTCTAGCAGAGAGGTTTTTATGAACATGGGGAAGTCTGAAAAAATAGGAAAAAATTAAAAAAAAAAAGGATTGCTCCCGGTGAGGCTCGAACTCACGACCTTCAGATTATGAGACTGACGCGCTGCCTACTGCGCTACGGAAGCACGGGAACGAGATGGGGTTCAAGGCGTATAGAACCTCCTCTCTAGATAACGCGACCCACCTCTCTAGATAATTCATTCCGCGTGCAATGTCAACAGAGATAGCGAGAAGATCTCTTGTGGAAAGTTCAGAGGCTTGCATTTCGCTGGGTGCTCTGTAAAGTTGAAGGGCTCATTGGAAACATGGAAATTGAAGATCCTTACGATTCTCTTAAGAAATTCAACAGATTTCCTCCTTCCATGTATTCCAGCAAAATGAGTCCTTGTCCGGGTGAAACACATACACCAAGCTCTTTTACAATGTTTGATGGTCCAGATTGCTGAAAAAGGATTATAAGACCATAATCCTTTGTTAGAGCTTACTTCAACAGAATCGCTTCCTTCATGAACATCATTCTGTCGAAATCATGATTTGCACTTTTCGGTCTCAATTGTTTGACTGCAACTTTGACCTGTTTCTCCCAACTCAACGGCACTTCTTCTGCGATTCCTTCATGTACAGATCCATAGGAACAGTCACTAATATGCCTTACTATTTCAACATCGTTATAGTCAACAATAGGAAGGTCTGAAAATATACGTTACTAGAAATATGCCGTCTACTTTGATCTAATTTTTCTCGGCTCCTATTGAAGATATAAAAATTGTCAACTAACAAAACATTTATGATATTATGATTAACATTTTATCAGTTGGCCACTTTTTGATATCATTCAAATGCTCTGAGATAAACGGTGTCAATGTAAGGCGTTTCGCTCGCGGATTGTAACAGGAGGCGTCCTAACATTGACTCAATTTATCTCGGTTTCTGTAACATATATCAAAAAGTGGTCAACAGACAACATTTTGGTGATGTTATGACAAACATTTTATCAGTTGACATATTTTTGATATCTCTCATAAATGCCGAGATAATTAAGGTCAAACTTAAATTCTCACTTCGAATTTCACTTTCATATTCTGGAGACAAAGTTTGTCGACTATTGGTGAAGTTCATATTGGCAACTACATCAAGCCGGATACAGTTTCGTTCGTCTTCAGCTTCACGCTTCTTCATTTGTTGACGACGTCGAGATTTCACTGAAAAACTATTCGAATTTCTTTGTAAACCTGAAGTACCTAACTTACACCAAAAACAGCCAACTAAAATCATAGCAGCTAGCAGTAGAATTATGGAGATTCCCAAAAAATATGGTAAAATTCCTCCCTTCTCTTCTTCCTTCTCCTCCTTCTTCTCCTCTGTATAAGCGTATGCTCCGAATCCCTCAATATTGGCTGCACGGATTCTGAATTCCGAGACTTCTGAAGAATACGACATCGAAGACGACGTCTCTGATTTTCCTGGCCTCCACCACGTCTTCCATCCATCCAATCCACGCTCAGCGATCTCCCACTCTGCAGTTTTATTGATTCGGGTCTCGACGGCGTAACTGGTAATTGGGGATCCACCATCACTCATGGGCTCCTTCCACGTCACAATCCATCCCTCCGTATCAATCTTTGCCTCAACAGACTGTGGAGCTGTTGGCACTCCTGCTTTGGTTCGAGCTTGCTGAATGAGCTGTAGATAATCTTCTTTGAAAGCTAGCACTTTTCCATCTATGGTATATGTTCCTGTGTATGTTGCCACGAATCGATAATCGTAAGTTGTGGCAGAAAGAAGGTTGGTAACAGGAACAAGTTCAGTTGCCACATCAGGTTCAAATGATGCATTCGTTGGAGACTGCCATTCATTATTGGCACCCCCTGACTCTCGATATTGAATAGCAATCGAGGTAGGTCGATGCTCCGGCTCCAACCCATTCCATCGAAGAAGTAGGGATGATCCAGTGACATTATCAGGGCGCAAAGTTCCTGGTACATCTAGAGTTCTCGCGACAGCTTCTGAAGAAACTGCGTCATCATCTTTAAGAATTGTGGCAGCATCCAAGTGAGAGATGTGAGTAGCTGTGACCCAGAATTTGTATTCATTTGATGGACGGAGATTGGCGATTTTCACACGACATGGGTTGATTAAACAAGCAGTTGTATCTGATGAAATATTCGAGGAGACTGTTTCAGAAAGCGGAATGACTGCAATGGAAGTGGGTACAGAAATCCCTGCGGCTTGCTGAGAAATCTTATATTTAATTTCCGAAATTGGAGCGTTAAGTGTCTCCGGTAAACTCCAGTAAAGGTATACTGTATCCGGAGTGACTGGGATAGCATGAGGATCACGAGGAGCCGATGGGTATCCGAATCCAGTTCGAAAAGATCTTGAAGAAGAAACGCCACTGGCAGGAGAATATCTATTCAGCCATGTAACAGTGACATCGTAGTCCGTTTCCTTGTCGAGTATCCCATTCTCCACGTGGATTCGATCCGAGAAGCTTCTCACATGTTTCACTTTGTCGGTATTCTTTCTAGTGAAATATATTTCATATTGGGTTTGAGGCATACTGACATCTAGGCAAGCAGACGAAGAAGAGCTTTTTGTGACTTCCAGAAGGGCTCCGGTTTTTCCTTCGTTCACAATTGAAAATACGATTCCTTTGGAAGAAGGAAGTTCGAAGCAGGATCTTTCAGGATAGGGTTGGCTACTCTGGCTAACTGCTAGAATCTGCTTCAGCGGTGGATTCGCGATAGTGATTGGGGTTACTGTATCCCTTCCATAAATCAACATTTCGGAGGATGTAACGAAAGCGAATAGTTTGTCAGCGATAGCGAATGAAGAGATAGCTTTGAGCCCCTTCTCCCCAAATTTCGACCAATCGATCCTCACTTCGTTACATTGGAAGTCTTCAGCCAGGTCCACATTGATTAACCCATTCCAGGTAAGAGCGTATATTTTAGGGGAAGATGCGCGGTTCCAGGCGAATTCAGTCATCATCCAGGTGACAGTTTGACTAGCCAAGCATGGAACTGTTAAGGCAAGATTGGCTTCGGTGTTCTTGTTCATGTCAAGGGCAAATAGAGATCCGTTTTTGGTCAGAAGATAGGCAGTGCTGGAAATTATACCATAACGTTAAACCTGTAATAGAAGGGCCCCTCAGTTGTCAACTGATAAAATGCTTATCATTAATTCAAAAGTGTTTTGTCAGTTGATACATGCATGATATCTCTTAGAGGAATTGAGACAATTGAGCTCTAACTTGTGGGCCCTTCTATTGCAGGTTTTATGGTTACCAACTTCATAAACGGATCATAAGCTAGCTGCTTCGCATCAGTGGCTGCAGACAAGGTAATAAGCTTGTGAGGATTTAGAAGAGATGTAGAGAGGAATGGTTCCAGAGACAACTGATAGAGGTTTGTGCCAGCCACAAAGATCAACCGGTTTCCAACCCAGTCGGAAGTCATGGCGTCGATTCTGGTGACGTCGCCGCCAATTGAGACCTAAAGTAATATTATTTTAGACCCTGAAGCTCCCAAAATACCTTATGAACAGTATTGTCAATATGATTGGTATCAATTTGAACTAAAAATGGTTGGGCCGATTCTCCTTCCTTCCTGACTGTATACAGATCTTCTCCGATGAACGCCATTGCTTGGTAGTCCAGCTTCACTGGTTGTGTGACTTGTCTAGTCTCTCTTCTCGGTTCTTCGTGAGCCAGGTCGTTTATTATGATCAACGAGTTGGTAGAGTCAATCGCGAACAATTTGACCAGAGGCTTCAATTCTGTAATCTCCTTATCATTGTTTTTCCAATTTCAGATTTTATTTTACCTGAACTATCAATTGTGATAACCTCTGAAAACGTTCCTATATTCGTTGGCTCATTTGCAGCAGCTGCTTGACACGAAACTTTTCCAGATTTTACGGCGAATGAGTAGTGGGATTGAGAAGTAGTCACAGGTCCCCCAATCCAACTTCCGTCGTCTTTCGTACAATTAACGATGTACTGATAAGGTGTTCCATTCCATTCCAACGGTGGTCCCCAGAAGAAACTGATCAGTGCTCTTGGACCATCCACAGTCTTCTGTTGGGTGGCAAATATTTTTAATTGGGTTGGAGGAGTTGGTGGTTTCACTGGAGCGGTTAAGCCTGTTCTATTCAAAACTGCAGTAGCCCATGGCGTGATTGCTTGGATCGATACATCGAATCGTTGAGCTGAGCTCCATTCCTTTAAAACTTCTGGAGGTATTGTGAAGTTTGTGTCACTTTGGATTGTAGTGATCGGTGCATCCTGTCCACCCATTTTTTCACGGAAAAACGAGACTTTAAAAATCACAGTCCCCGCTTCCAGAGGTGGAGATAACGTCCATTGAAGATCAGTCTTGCTTCCCTCCATGAATTTAATCTCATCGGTGAATTCGATCTTGTGAGAGATCGCTGCGTATCGTAATGGAAGAATCCTATCAACTCGTTCCAATTCTGTTGCTACATTCACCACTTTCAAAGATTTGTCGGTTTGTACAATGTGGTTGTTTTTGGTGACAAGGATCATTTTATCATGGATGATCAGGAATCGACGGAATCTGAAATATATTGGTTAAGGGGACTTCAACAAAGGTTTTTTTTAAAATTTCATTTAAAAAATTGTTAATTTGAAATATCTGAAAAACAAAGAGGGACGAGGATTTGAGTTCCCGCGCAATGTGAAACCAAGGCCACGACCGCGGGCCGCCTTTTTAGGTGGCAATTTTTCCGGATTTTTTTCCCGCTCTCATTTCCGCCACGTAAGATTGTCACCTAAAAATGGTTCATGCCGCCGTGGCATAGGTTTCTCACTGTGCGGGAATTCAAATCCCGTCCCTCCAATTTTCTGCACCCTCAACTTTCATCCTAATTATCTCGATTTCTGGGAAAGGTATCAAAAATGTGTCAACTGATGAAATATTGGCAAAATTACGATAAATAATTTATCAGTTGGCCACTTTTCAAAATCTTGGACGGGAACCGAGATTAATTGGCTCAAAGTTAAAAGTCAGGGCACTTCTACCACAGTTTTTACGATAACGAATCCACATTAAGAGAAACTTACGGAACTATCGATGGAGCTGTTGCGATATCTCTTGGAGCCCTATTCTCCGGATCCGACTCCCATAGAATCACTGTTCCATTCCTCGACTGCGTTAAAAAGTAAACCATTCCTGTTGAATCATCACTAGATATTCCCATTACTTCTGCACAGTCTTCAAGAGGCTCTTCGCAAGAATAGTACCTTAAGCCGACAATGATAGCGTTGCCCTAATTTCTGGGAGCCTTACTCAAAATCAAAAGTTGTTGGTAGTCGATACGATGTGATTTTGTAGGACGAAGCTATCAATATCATGGATCTCGAAGGCATTATGGACATCATCTCAACGAACAAACCATCCTTGAATGGCTTCGGAGATCCTGTAGCGTCATCCAGATCTTTTTTGAAAATTCCCATCTAGAATAATGATATTCAGATGGGTTTCAAATATAAAAAAGAAAACCGAGCTACCGAATGATCTCCAGCCAGATACACAGTTTTGGTGGTGTTATCCAAAACATGAGGGTTTTGCATGCGCTCTACAGCTTTCACGGAATCATCAGTTATCACTAAATTGCCAAGCATATCAATGCTGATAATATCATCTGCTTTTTTCTTGGTGAACACAAATGGGACTCCTGAAAATCAGAGATAATTGTAAATTGAGAAGGCGTCGCCAACCTCCACCAAGATCTGGAAGCGCTGTGTTAGATGTTGAGCTTGGTGTTGAGCAGAAGTCATCGCTACATACTTGAACTTGAGCATTATACTGATTTCCTGGTGTCACATCGATTTTCTGGAAGTTGGGTGTTGGAGAGCACTGTAAAAGCTGTAATAGAAGAGCCCCACACTGTTAAATTTGAGCTCATTTTTCTCGGCTCATATGCTAGATATCGAAAATGTGTCAACTGATACAATGTTTATGATAATATTATTATGATAAACAATTTATCTGTTGACAACTTTTTCATATTTCAGACAGGAACAGAGGTAAGTTGACTCAAACTTGAAATTAGGGGCCCTTCTATTACAGGTTATACGGTAACTGTGAGAAGAACTAACCACATCCGTACTCGATGTGTACATCTCTACTGCTTCAAAATCTGTGATGTCTGGAGCAGTGATTTTCAAAAAATATGTGAAGTTCCTCCATGAGCTTCCTTGCGCTTGGAACGGTAATGTATTCGCTTCATCCCATGAAACTCTACCAGTCTTGTCAGATGTCAAAAGTGCAATCGAACTCACAGCGACGATTCTTGGTTTCAGCAGAATCTCTTCCAAGAAGCTGTAGGACATGAGCGCACTCGAGTAGGTGAATCTAAAAACATGCAAAAAAGAAATTGATGAGAGTGGGATTCGAACCCACGCCCCCGGAGGGACTGGTGCCTAAAACCAGCGCCTTAGACCACTCGGCCATCTCACCCCGAGAGAGGAGGGTGGTTTACGTAATAAAGAGACTGGCGAGATTGGCAGGTGACGGTCAGGGAAAAAAGGGGGAAGGTGGTCTAGGGAAGAGAACAGAGAGAAAAGGGGAATGGTCTAGTGAAGAGATGACAGGTGCTGATAAGGCTCTTACTTGTTTGGTATGTCTTCCTCTGATCGTTGTAGGTTTTCCGTAAAAATGCAATTCTCATCGGCGTCCGTTTTTCCACATTTCTTTTTCATCCAGTAGATTAAATCACTTTTTATTCTAAAATTCTGAACATCTGTGTATCCGGAATCTTTGAATATGTGAGCTTGATCGGTTACAGGATTCAGGGTCATCATGGATCCTAAATTAGAAAAAAGGTGAAGTTACAGTAAAACCTGCAATAGAAGGGCTCCAACTTTAAACCAATTTATCACGGCTTCTGCCAAAGATTTGAAAAGGTTTGAGGGGTTAATACAATGACCACCCTAGCTTCCAACTTTGATCTAATTTATCTCGGTTGCTGTGAAAAATACCAAAAAGTTTTCAACTGATATATTGTTTATCATAATATCACGAACATTTTATCAGTGAACTCTATTTTGATATCTTTTACAGAAACCGAAATACATGAGTTAAAAGTTAACTGCTTGGGGCCCTTCTATTACAGATTTTTGAACGGAATTACCATTCTGAAGAGCCGAGTATAGCAAAAATTTGGAGACGTCGAAAAATATTCCATTCGAAGGAGACATATCTGGAAAGTGAGGGTTATGGAAGAATTAATATAGAATGATACCTTTGAGGTATTGAAGACTAGCTACAGTTTCAATTCCTGTTGCGTTAAAGGCGATCATCTCGGTACGGTAGACTTTGTTATCCACGTTAAGGGAATAGATGTGTCTGGAATAAGGGAGAGCTGCATACTTGTAAACCATGCCTTTGTTAAACCAACTAAGTAAGATATGATAGAACTCGTCGAGCACTACAAAATGGTGTTATTTGGAATACTGTATCTTGTCTAGGAACAAAGTTACAAAGCTTTATAGATATGACCGCGCAGCTCAGACGGTTTTTGGCTTGTAACTTTGTTCATAGGCAATATACAGTACTTCAAACACTGTAATTTTGTAGTACTCGACGAGTTCTATCATAAATAATTTAGTTGGTCTAGAAATATTGATTGTAAAAGAAATTATGGCAGGGCCCGCGAAAGTCCGATACGCTCCCGGTTTCCCAGTATGATTTACAGCTCTATGAGCTATGTATCTGTAAATGATAAAATTTTTATCATCCAAAATATTCTTACCCGTTAACGGGATCCAGTGTAATCTCTTTCGGTGGATTCAGTGCATCATTATTGACAATTAATACACAAGTCGGGCTCTCTTCTGACTCCATCGTTCTCAACTTGCACCTCAAGATTCCTTTATCATGTTGAACAGCATACAATGTCCTTTGAATGTGATCTATTTCTATTTGCGTGATTTTTGTATCCATTTCTCCAACAGTTTTCAGCTGAATCACAGACGATGGTTGATCTTCGTCTGTCTGATTGGCAGACATCTGGAACGTCCATAATGATCCTTTCGAGCTCCCGATTGCAATAATAGTGTCAGTTATACCGGCAATCGCTGAAAACTGGTAAGTTTGGGGAAGTTTGGGAAATGTCAAACCTGTAATAGTGTCATCTGTAGGCAATGGGAAGGGAATAACAGTTGCCGAATCACCAAGCGCATACTGAGCTAGCTCCTCGTTTTCTAGCAGGTGAGTTCCATTTGAAAAGATAATTCGGGAAGATGATGCGGCAGACACAAGTTCGATTTCAACTAGATACCATTTATTAGAGTGGAGCTGAGAAAGGATACTGTACCTTGATTGACAAAGAAATCCAACTTGATTTCCACAAACGCCGTAGTCGCTCCATGCTCATCAATGGCAGATATAGAAGCTTTACAGCAATTATCTCTAGGAAGATTTGAGAATAAATGACATCTTGATATTGACTCTTCGGTGTTTATGGTATTGTCGTCCATGGTCATAACTGTTAGTTTGAATTTTGGCTGAAACTTTTTAAAAACTTATTTTATGAAACACTCTGGATTATGACAAAAACCCTTACTGTCGGTTGATTTGTCCTATAACAAACTGCAACTCGATCATCAGAAAGTTGCAACTGTCCAATAACTTCCAACGTAGTTCCAGCTTTTGAAAGTGGTAAGTGATAAGTGGTAGTTCGAGAAACCAAAACTTGATTCCTATAAGAAAGTGCCAACCGTACTTCCACATGCTCCCCATGCTCAAAGGGAACATGAACTTCCGAAACTAGAGAAGAATTTCTGAAAGAGCTCTGAGGAAGTGAAGTCCATCTCCAACCCAGAATCCCGTTTAGTGGACGGGTTTGTGAGAACCAGAAGATGTCAGCATTCGCGATTTCTTTTAGCTCCTCTGCTAGTGTTTCAGGAAACTCCCATTTCAGTTTCATCGCGGTTTCGAGGACTTCCATATTTACACGAGTTTGGATAAGGAGAGCTGAAAATTTTAGTTACAATTAGTTTTTAAAAATTATGTGAACCTTGAGCTTGAGCTAGAAAAGATACAAGAACTGCTCGACATCCTTGTTTGCAAGAGTTGGTGACGATGCCTTCTTCGGCACATTTTACATTACATTTTGACTCTCTTTCATCTACATCTTCACATCCATGTTTACACTGAAAAAGAATTTTAGATACCGTAAGACCTGTAATAGAAGGGAACCTTAAATTTCAACTTTGAGCCATTTTTTCTTGGTTCCTGTGAAAACCATGAAATAGTTGTCAACTGATAAATTATTATCATATCGTTATAAACATTTTATCAGTTGGTACATTCTTCATATCTTGCACATGGATTGAGATAAGATTTTTTCAGATTTTGATTCTTTTGTATTTTTAAGGAATATAATTTTTGAAGCTTAATAATTAGACGGCTGGCGGCAAAACCTGTAATAGAAGAGCACTTTCAACTTTAAGATAAATTATCTCAACCTCTATGAGAGATATCAAGAATTTGTCAACTAATTAATTATTTATCATGATATTACAAGTAATTAATCAGTTGACAAATTCTTGATATCTTTCATAAGAAATGAGATAATCTGGCTCAAAGTTAGAAAACCGTTCAACCCGTAGAGCAACAGACCATCAACTTTGAGCTCAATTAGCTCGGTTCCTTTAAGAGATATCAAAGGTTTGTACACTAATAAAATGTTTATCACAATATCACCAATATTTTATCAGTTGTCAAAATTTTGATATCTTTTACAGAAATGGAGATAATTGAGCTCATAATTATCCGGGTTCGGCGGCCTTCTATTAAAGGAAATACGGCAACAAAGTTCGATATCTTCATACATACTTTAGAAATTTTGAAGCCATAGCCTATAGCCCATAGGTTTTGCAAAAAATGTTCAAGAAATTAAAATTTTCTAGACGTTAGAAAACACGAAATCGTCCCAAAAAACTTACTGATGAGATCCTAGTTGTGTAATTAAATTCTGCAAGACCCGTCCAATGAACTTCACCCGAATCAAGTGGGTAAGCCTGCAAAGAATCCTTTCTCTTTCCGAATTCTTAACTCTAGATTCTCACCAAATTCCGCTCTTCACACTGACTCTGACATGTCTTCAACGAAGATGAGAATACGGTAGCGGCATGAACAAAAGAGGAGAACAAAAACGAAGAAAACAACAAAAACAAAAACAGTGAGAAGCGAGGGAAATCAAGCATAAGAGAGGGATTTAGAAGGGCATGTAGTCGTCGTCGTCGCCTATCTCTTCTTCTTCTTCAACCACCACTTCTTCTCTCCGGATCACTTTCTTTTGGTTGTCTGCGTCTCTCTCTCTCCCTCCCTCTCTTGTAATCAATTGAATATCATTGACAACGACATCACATCAACATCATCGTCTTCTCTTTGTCTTTTTTCCCCTCCTCTTCTTCTCTATTCACATATTTCTCCCCCCACGGGTGCCCTAGATTACTCAAACGCTCGTAAATTTTCTTTCTGTTTCTTGATTCCAAAAATTTTGTCAAGGCTAGGTTATCAACGGATATTTTTCAATTTTTTTGATGACTTAATTGGTTTTTTAATGGGATTTTCCTCTTTAGAAGAACCTGTTTCTTTCTACAGTTTTTTTTGTCAAAAATACTTCAATTTATTGGATTTTAGCATAGTTGCAAGCGGGCCGGCTGATAACTTGTCCCTAGAACGAGATGTTCAGACAGTTTTGGTACCAAATGATAGATATCGACAGGGACCATCACACATATATTATTTGAAAAAATTGTCCTTTTGTCAAATTGGTCGAAAATT